GTCATTCATTTAACTGAAGTGATTATAAATTATAAATCATGTCTTTTTCTGACCTAATTAATCCTTTAAGGTATAAAGTTCCTTAAAGTCCAAAAATGACTTGTTTGGGTTTTTTTTGTTTGTTTGTTTTTAGTATAGAAATTATACAAAAACCATTGTCAAATATGAAATGGTGTTTGGTTTTCTTTGGGCTGTATTTGTATAAATATATTATTGATATGTGTTCCAAAATCACGGAAAACTCCTATAATTTTGATATGACTTAGTGTGTGCTATCAGTAATAATTATTATATTAAATTATTGCATGCCACAGAGGTAACAAGGTGTCAGTTGTGTCTTTGACTATGGCTGCCCTAAAACTCTTCTGTCACCCATGGACAATTGTTGTTTCAGTCCTCTTTAGAAGGTAGTTTTATAATCAGCTATAAAATTCTTAACGGGTGCTCCTGAATGCACATTTCTGATAACTTTGGAGGTTGTGACATCAGAATAGAGGAAAAACTTTCAGGACTCAATGAGACCTGAAATGTTCATGAATATCAAGTAAAGCAAAAATTAATTTCATGGACTGAACTAACAAGACTGAAGTACTATTTTTGACTTTTTATTTAAAACGTTGCTGATCCTGTAAAAGTTGTGAAAGTATTTCCAAGGGAAAATTCCTAGTGTTGTACTGGACCGAGCGTAGAAAGTTAGCACCAAGACAAAAGTATGCGCAATTGCAGCGTCATTTATTATGCCGGCGACCACAGAGGACTCACGTCTCTCCAACCTGTGGTATTGAAAGGAGGGTGCCAAGACTTTTTACACCCGAAAAACCATCTTGGGAGTGGGGGTGAGGAGCGGGGATGGGGATGAAAAGGCTTCAGACATTCCGAGGGCTAGTGGATTCTGTAAATTACCTCCTGGGCAGAGATGAGGGTGGGGGTCTCCGGACATTCCAAGGGCCAGGGGACTTTTGTCATTCCGTTTGTTAGTTAAGTGGTTTACAGTAGTCAAGATAAACATTTGTTTACACGTTATCTGGTTAAGGTGGAAATCACAGACCTTAGTTGCTTATTACAAGTCACAGGAGCCAGGATGGAACTAGCTTGGGCTGCTTAGTCTGGCAATTGCCGGTAAGCAAAGGCTAGCAATTCTGGCAGTTACTGATAAGAAAAGGTAAGCAGCTTTACATAGTGGCTGGTTTGCAGAGCAAACTAGCAGTTTTATTTACAGTAGCCAAGGCTAGCAGTTATTGTGAGGAGAATGGGGCAGCCGTTACAACTTATTGTAAAAAACAGCTTTTTCTTTTATAAAATGATGTTGTTCAGGCTCTAACTCTAGGCCAGCTACAGCACAATATTGTGATATTGTGCTGGCCTAAAGCCAGAACCTGAGCAACGCCAGCTTTTAAAAATGCAAAACTGTTTTTTAAATAAGTTGCAACGGCTGCCCCATTCTCCTCACAATAACTGCTGGCCCTTGGAATGTCCAGAGACCCCCACCTTCATCTCTGCCCAGGAGGTAATTTACAGAATCCACTAGCCCTCGGAATGTCTGAAGCCTTTTCATCCCCATCCCCGCTCCTCACCCCCACTCTGAAGGTGGATTTTGGGTATAAAAAGTCTTGGCACCCTCCTTTCGATGCCACAGGTTGGAGAGATGTGAGTCCTCTGTGGTCGCCGGCATAATAAATGACCCTGCAATCTGGCATACTTTTGTCTTGGTGCTAACTTTCTATGCTCGGTCCCGTACAACAATATCACACTAGCAATGGCAATGATTGTTGAAGGGATAGATTATGCCAAATTATTCTCAAAGTAGGCTGCACCAATTTACATTCCCTCCACCAATACATAAGGGCCTGTTTTCCTATATGGTCACCAGCTCTGACCATTAAACGTTAAACTTTTGCTTATCCAGGGCCGGGCGCGGTGGCTCAAGCCTGTAATCCCAGCACTTTGGGAGGCCGAGGTGGGTGGATCACAAGGTCAAGAGATCGAGACCATCCTGGTCAACATGGTGAAACCCCGTCTCTACTAAAAATACAAAAAATTAGCTGGGCATGGTGGCACATGCCTGTAATCCCAGCTACTCA